TTAAGTAGAGCCATGAAAATATGTGATACAGAGCCTCGGAGTAGATGGAAGTGAGTAGGAAAAGACTAGATCAAATAAATAAAGGTTAGGAGGTGAAGTATAATTAGGGTAAGGAGAAACCAGAGAATGAAGTACGAAGAATGGACATAATAGCAAATAGCTCTGAAATATCTAAGGATTCTGATAGAGAGTTGAACTCGTGAATAAATCCTTGGGCTTATGGTATAAGCCAACAAAAAGATAATGGTTCACTGGAAAAAAATTCGATTCAGCGAAGCCTGAAGGCACATAGATCCATTGGACATGGGGGGCCACTAAGATGAACTGCCGGCCTCTCCTCAAGAGAGCTGGATATGCAAGATGCCGAGAAAGAGCGAAAGACTGGCTGAATGGGCAACACATCTATATAGATGCCCAGCATCTATCATTTGCAGCCCAGGTTATTCTATCAACCCAAGTCTGATCTCGCGGTATTCAGCCCTTACAAGAAACAAACTTCAGGCAACTAATTTGAAATAAAGAACAGCAAAATTTTAACATGGAAAAGAAGCAACGTGAATGAAGCAAATGAAATTTAACTCGGCGAAGTGTAGCATATTTTGAGAAAAAACAACAGACGCATTGGCAGAAAAGGAAACACGGCAATAGTGCTAGATTGACCTGATGTCAAAAACACAGTAAACGTGTACAAGATTTATAAATAGTTGACGAAGACTGAAATACATGTATAGGAATAAGAAGTTTTAATGAAGGGACAAAAGGCGCAAATGAGGATTAGCCGCCAGATAAATTGGGAGAAGACGAGGGGAAATTAATAAATATTAGTTTGAATTTCTGATGGTGTTTACGAAAAATGAATTTCAATATTTAAAAAGGCACCAAAAGCTGACACAGTAGAAAAAGATACGTCCAACCAAACTGTTGAAATTGCCACCGGGAAGGAACCGATAAGTCTATTTTTCACTTCAAAACGTAACTCAGCACAGCAGAGCATCTGATCGACTATCACGCGAAAAGGAGCTCCAAAGCGAAAGAAAAAATTTATTAGCAGCCTAATGGAACTAAAGGTGTAAAACACCAAAAAGCGGCCATTTAACTCAGATACGTGACAAAAGAAAATCAGGGCAAAAGAAGGGAGACCCACGTAGCCCTTAGATCTGATCAATGTTAACGTGAGCAAAGACCCGAGGAGCAGCACAGAAGACAGCTTTAAAAATACTAAAGCACTGTACAATGGAAAACTAAGCCACAGTGCGCTGATCCGTCCATCCACATAAAAACCTTCATTCTGCTTCACCTCTCACTTTTGCATTTATTCTCCCAATCTTTTCATAAAATAACTGCAAATTAGCTAACAGAAGCTAATATAGAATAAAGAGCAAATCAAGCACAAGTTCCTAAAATAACTAATGTGAAAATTCAGTGAGATGGGAATGGAAGAGGCGAATACGATCCGTCAAAATTGGAACTGATGTGCGATATCAGAACTAATGTGCTGCAGAAAAATTGGCGCAACAGTGAAGATGAGGATACGCACTTAATTCAGAGAAGGCCAGTGTACTATGATATACACATATGGGTGCACAAACATAAGTATACTTTATAGGAATAGACAGAGCCAAATGAAGGCAGGATAGGCAATCGTGACTAGCAACCGATTGGCAAAGTGAGTGCAATTTCTTTGTATGCTAAATGCGATCTGCTCGCTGTGTCAAGGATTTGACTGACCCAAGTTCAGGTCTCGGCATTCAGTCGGGTAATGGGACGGAAATTTCTAGGTTAGGAAGAAAAGGAATGCTCCTCTTTACTAGTTCTTCCAAAAAATGCAAGCATTTAGAGGCGTCATAACGCGTCTGGAGGTAAGGAGGGAAAGCAAGGGAAAACGTGATCATGAAGAAGCCAACATTGGCTGGAATTAAAATAGCCGAGTGTAAAAGGAAAAAAGGGCGTGATAAGACTGATCAGAAATGACTTTTCAACGTCGTGCTGGTTGGTCAGCCAGGGGTGTAAGATATCACTCGATTAGGAGAATGGTAACAAAAAAGCAATTAGATGAGACAGATAGTTTCCTGGCGGAAAAGACAGCAAGAATGGGGAAGCAAACACGGAATAGTTCATAATAAACATGGACCAACAAGAGGAAAAAAAATGAGATGAGAGAATCGATGGGCGATGAAACAGGATGAACAATAGCAAGAGTTGGAAAACAATGTCGAGTTAGCTAGAAAAGTATAAAAAATGACTGACTTCGGAACACATTGAAGAACTGCGCCTTTATTTGAGGGCATAAGCGTGAGTGGACATCGGCTGGTCAACTGTTGGTGAAAACGAGCACAACATATATTGTACTACTGTCATAGAGAAATGAAGAGAGACGAAGTCATAGAGATAGAAAGCATGAAAAATTAATTACTAATGTCGTGATGATTTCTATGTTCAGGCATGGATGCACATATGAACATATAATATTTTAGATATTACTATAAAAATGAACGCAGAAAACGTATATCCTGTGTGCAGATGAGAAAATATGCACACATTTAAATTGAGATAAGGAAATTCAGGGAAATCGATTCAATACTGAGTGGAAAGCGAAAACAGGTGACTGAATAATGGGACCGCAGTTTAAATGGAGTGGCGAGTGCCGATATCTTAAGCAGATGTAAATAAGACGATAATTTAAGGTTAGAACAAAGAGTTGCTATATCTATATAGTAGCTCAAGAGATGAGTGTCTAGGTATGAGCTGGATGAGATAGAATGAAGATTTGCGGATAAATTTCTGGGTAAGTATCAATGCTGCTTGAGTGTATGCGAGGACAATAATGTATAAATCAAACGGCATACGATGGCTAGAAGAGCAGAAAATCAGGTATGTCCAGCCGATATCTGTCCAAGGGGAGGGGCGCCGGATACTGCCGCATGGTTGCCGGAGACCTGGGCCCACCAATCGGCACCTCCACAGGAATTCGGACCTGGAATGCTCAAGCTAAACGCACGGGCTCCAAGACTAGCTGTGGAAACAGCGTTGTGACCACCGTTTCCTCCATTGCAGTTGCCAGGATTATTATGCAAACTGCCTCCATTGCAGGCACTAATAGTGGTGTGCACGGAAGGGTTGCCACATGTCGAAGAAGTGGCCAGTAGCGATGGTGAACCCGAGGCAGCCGCAGCAGCAGCAGCAGCCACAGCGGCAGCAGCAGCCGCTGCTGGATGACCAGCAGGCAAGCGGTTCTGATGAGGCGCCGATCCAAGAAGATTAGTCCCGGGGCCGGCCATTCCAAAAGTTAAATTGAGGCCAGGTGAAGGGGCACTAGGCATGCCTTTCGAAGAGAAAAGGAGCATAAGAGTAGAAAGGAGCGAAACACATTCGAATTAAATCGTAAAAAGCTATAGTTTGTGCTGATAAAAGTAATCGAGGATCGCCAGAAGATCAAAGCGAAGTATATTAATAAGACTGAAAAGGGCTTTTGAAGTCTAAAATTCGTCTCATATAATTCCACATCCCAAGACAAAGAAATATGATAGGTATAATAAGATATACAGCGGTTTCTCATACACAGATAAAACGACTTTTTCTCTCAATGCTACTTCGGCTGGATAATGCAGTTTGGCAGATTACTTTAGATTTTCGAATATAAGTCGTATTGAGTAGGCTTTGATACTACTAAGAGCTCTTGAATGAGAACTGTATTCACCTTAAATTGCATAAGTTTATGAAAGCTTAATAGCTTAATTACTCCACAAAGACACAACCAAAACATATCAATATGAATATAAGTAGTGTGGTTAATGGCAATCGGCAATTCTTTAAAATTCTGCCATATAACCTATCAGTCATACTCAAGGTGCTATTTGTCATATTCTCCCATGGCCTTTGATCGCCTAGGCTCTGATTTCTAAGCCTGAAATGTCTCCACGACCCATCTCTGTGATTCAACCTGTGTACTCTGAGCAAACTGTGGGCATATATATTTGGTCCCTTGCTGCATCTAGAGCGGATTTTAAGTCAGTTTGGCTCCGATCTACTAGTCATAATGCTGAAATTCTGTGATGATTGTGGCTATCCTTATCCCTATTCATGTGACCGCCAGACCCCCGAAGCTGTCGTTATTTCTACGAGCAGGCTACACTCCAAGTATACTTAATAGGCAAATTTATCTCTAATCCTGACTTATTCAAATCTCCTGTTCATTTAAGTCGGTTGACCTAGTATTCACAACTTGGTCTTGTTGTTAGGGCGACTTAGACGTGCATTGACCGAAATCCTTTGTCATAGTATTTATCGTAATTTCCAGTGCCAGACCGTGAACTTGGTACATTCCCATACGTTTCACTGGCATAGTAGCCTGTATTATCACTGAGTCTTGCCATTTTAGCAATACGCTGCAACTTGTCAAAAAGACAAGTGAAGTCAATCCCTTGCTTTTTTTGCCGAAACGGTTGCGATGTAAGTCACAGCCACAGCCCATCTATCTACTCCTTACCCTCTTGTCTAACGAGGTCAACTCACTTCTATGCTATGCTGGGAATCCAGACAACTACTATGGCAGACAACTTCGGACTCGGTGCGTTTTACATAGTCTCGCTGAACACAAGACCAAGTTGCGACAACGAGGTCAACCCACTTCTAAC